GCAATCCCGTCGTTGCTTTCCCGGCTAGCGCTTGACGCGACTAAATCGCGAGAAGTTTGCGGCCTCTGTACAAGGAGAATCGCAGGGCTCTACACGTCACGATCCTGTCTTCTCTTCCCGACTTGGCTTCAATTGCGAATGTATCGCGAGGGATTCTTGAGAGGAGAGAGTTTCGGATCCCTGTAGGTCGGTGATCCCGTCGTTGCCTCCCCAGTTGGCGCTAATCGCGACTCTCGCGACAGAATCGGGCAGAAGAGGGGAAGGCGAGGTGTTTAGACGTCGTCCTTAGCTAGATCTCGCGCGAAGGAGTGGTGTCTCGGGAAACTCATCTGTGATGATCTTGTGGTTGTTTCTGCGGCTTACTACCGTCGTGATAGTGTGAGCAGGGAGAAAATCCTTTGCTTTGGCTTTCGGCTTCCATAAGAAGGAGCTGTTATTGCGTGCGCGCACCGTACAATGAATTTAAAAGTGGTACCACTAAGATACATAAAAGTATTCACACAAAAACTTTGGCTTTCGCCCACCGCACTATCTCTGTGTGTGGTGGGCGGACTCAATAATTTTTTCATAGGAAGAGGCATTGGCTCCAGCCTGAGGAAAAATTATTGCATGCAGGCAGATCTTGACTGTAGACCGTAGATCAGGTGATCTACGGTCATGATGTATTTCGGTGGGCCCCTCCTAAAATTTTTTTAAAAAAAAACTGAAATATATCCTGTACGATCAGGATTGGACACCGCATGGAGAGATGCATGCGGAACACAAACAACTTTTTTTTACCCGATATATAACGAGCTGAACACAAACAAAAATTTATTAGTTCGTGTTCGGCTCATTTTGGCTCGAAATAAAACTCATCAATTATATATAAAATATCGATTTCTCGTGCGTTTTTTAGCTCTATGATGAGAGCTTGCGTCATATGCCTAAAATTCTAAAGTCTCCGCGTTACGGTGAGATCGAACCCTTGACTTGAGAAGACTTACAGTGACCCTGCCACCAACAAGCCAATACTTGCGGCGCGCGCCGCGCGCGCGCGCACACAGAGATATATATATATATATATTAATGAGTAGTATTTTTAAAAAATTTAATTGACTACAAGGCTACAAAGATTTGTAATCAATTAAAATTATTAATTAAAAAAATAAAAAAATATTAAATTATATTTAAATGAAGTTTTAATATAAATAAAAATATTTAAATCTCACTCATACTCTTGACCCCATAATATCGTACGTCTGAATGATTAGGTCTGTCAAAACAACTCTTTGTTCGCGAAATGCTCGTGTTCGGCTTGCTAAGCAAATGAAACAAACACAAACATACTTTTTGTGTTTGAAATATAAACGAGTAAAACACTGAGAGTGGTTTTTTTACGAGCCGAACATAAGCTGGCTCATTTACACCCCCAAGCGGGAGGGTTATTTCGTGAACTGAGCAGGAATAGGTAAAATTATAATGTTATCTTTTTATTATTTTATTTTAGGGGTCAACAATATCGTATACATCACTATTAATCAAGTTAAAATGGTTTTCGCATAACTATTATGTGATGGAAAAGACGCTACTTTTTCCCAATTTTGCATCTTGACCTATCAAATGAAAAATGTGATGAAAACAATGCTTTATTTCCCAACAGGACAAAGGATAAGATAAAACAATAAAACCTGTGTATGATCTAAGCATTTGTGCAATACGTTGTTTTTTTTTTTCTTTTTCCATTTATTTTAGCATAGGACAAGAAAACGTTCTCAGTAATGAAAGGAAACAAGGCAAAATATTGTCCGAGTTTAGGCCCTTAGGCCCTTTCATGTGATTTTTTGTCACCTAATCCTATACAATGCAATCATCACAAGAAAATCAAGCACCAGTCTTTATTAATTTATTCCTCTATTGAGATGAGATTGGTAGAAAATTAGGACATTAGGATATCATTAATGGAGGAAACTATAAAATAATAGCTTTAATGAGTAATTGACTTTTATTAGCAATATAAATAGTTGATTAGTTTTTCATTTGTTGCATATCTCTCTAAGGCAAATGAGAGATGAAGTTTATAAAAAATAATTATCTCTCTTGCTTTATTCATGCCCCTCTTGAATCATTGAAAGTGATTCAATTGGTACCTCAGCATAAATGACATAACTAAATCAGTCTATAAATTTTAAAATCCAGAGAAATAATCTACGGTAGAATAATCAACTTCGGTATAACTAGCAATCACATATTCTTATTGAATAACATGGTTTTATTGTCTTGATTATAAATTTTTAGCTGTGTTATATGGCATCAGATTGAGGAAGGTCAGCTAATCAACAGATCTTAAAATCCATGCGTGACCTTTGCCTCTTTGATTTTCCAATGACCCAATTTAGGAAATTTAGCAGATGTGGAATCAGACTGAACAACTTACCCCCATAATTCATTACCCGTGACAAACAATCAAAATTGAAGTTCTGGGGTAGTTTTTACACGTAAGATGAACGCCGAAAATATTGAAATTTCTAAATGTCATTAACATTATGCCCCTTTAATATGTTACTTGAAAGAAACTCTCGATAGAAGAATGCCGAATAATGATCAAATCAATGTTGTAATACCCTCGTTTATTTTCATTAGTTGGCATTATGCTATTTTAAATAATTTACCTAACAGAAAATCTCAGGAGAATCGAATAATGATCAAATCGATGTTGTAATAGCCTAATTTATTAAGTCTTAAGTAGACATGATATTTGAGTAATGTAAGTGGAGGCAAGACTTCTGCAAGTGCTCGGGATTGAAGCATGACAATCGACAGCCCCTTATATGAACATTGTACGAACTGCTAGGTCTCATATCTAGTGGGTTCTTCTCATTGTATAGAAAAGAATAGGTATTACAAGATAATGATTGGGTATTTTCTCAATTAAATATAGCCTAAAAAGAAATATATGCTTATTCCTTAAAAATATGTTTTGTGGCTGTAGCACTAATAGATTTTTAACAATTTAGTGACTGTTATTTAATGCTTATCTTGCTTATATTTTGTAGTCAGAGCTCCTGATGCAATATTTATGCTAAGCCCAACTATTACTTTTGGCTAACAACTAAAGATATTTTGGGCCAATTTTTGAACCCATTTAGGTTATCTTAATAGTGCAAAACCTGAAAAAATGACAAAAATTTCATCAGTTTGTTTTCAGGCAATCATCAATACCATGAATTATACAATATAATTGGTGTTATAGATTAAGCATGAAGTACTCGCTTTGGAGTACTATATCATAAAAAGGTAACTTGGAGGCTTATAAGAAATTTTTTATAAAATGTTGGACGGTAAATGATTTGATAATTCGAAGTTTTGTATTGTGGATGGTAATGATAAAATCATGTGTGACAAAATTAACATTGAAAGATTAAGGAATAATTATGAGTAAGACTTTAGGAGTGGTTGCTAGTTATACCGAAGTTGATTATTCTACCTTAGATTATCTGGACATAAAAACGGAGGGTAAAATGCAATATAAGATCAAAGATCATTATTTGCAAGAGCATAGAAGAAATATGATTTTGAGGTAGGATAATGAAAAATAGATTTTTATGATTTGGACATAAAAACGGAAGGTAAAATGCACCAGTAAGAAAAGCATAGAAGAGATATGAGGGAACATAGTGAACAACAAAGTTGTATGGATAAATGTTAAAATAAAATCACATGAATTATGTTTCTCACCTCAAGTAATGCTTAACAGGTATAAATGAAAATTGAATTTCATAAAACTACGAAATAATTGACATAAGCTAATGATGATTATGATGTGGTGAATGCACTCTGTAAGAGGACCTAGAAAGCAATATAAGATCAAAGATCATTACTTCTCCACATTTTTGTACATTTTAAGTCTCTGGAGTTGAAAATTGAATGAATCAGACTGGTGTTTAAAAGAACCAATGGCCCAATAGTTAGAGGAGAAGGTTGTATATTTAGGATTACAAATGTAAGCCATTATGATTTATCGTTTATCATTCCCCTCGACAGTTGTTAGTTTTAGATTTCTTCGAATCAGAAACGAAAAAGCCTGCAAATTATCTTTTTGAGGAGTAAAAACGCATCGCCGGTTCCACTTCCGCCTTTGTTTTTATGGCTCATTTCACATTTCCAATCCATATTCATGCTTATTTTCTATTTTCCAGATTTTGACTGCTGGGTTTCTTGTCTTATGTCTGTTGGATATGGAGCCTCTTCCTTCTTCCCTTATCTGCATGGTGCCTCACGCGTCCCACTCTCCTCTCCGCTTCGCACGCGGAACCGCGGGAAGCTTCCCGCCTCCCTGGTTGCCGAAACAAGATTTTCTGCTTCTTATAAATAGGCAGAAATTATACCCATGAGGATCATCCCAAAACCCAGCTCCTTTCTGTAGCAATTAAGTTCTTTGTTTTTTTTTTCTTTCACCTAGAAGTAGAGAGAGAGGAGAGAAAGGAGGAGAGAAAGAGAAGGTTGACAGAGTGAGAGAGAAATATAAATTTCTTGTAAACGTCGAAACGCTTGACAGTGTAATTCCTCGAAGTAATAAAATCTTCTGCAACTCCTTGGACGTAAGTAATTTGTCAAATCACGTAAATCTGTGTGTTTTCGTTATTTTAGTGCAAATTTCTCATTCCATTTTTCGCTTTATTACCGTCTTTTTCACAACAATGTCAAGTAGTACTTGGTATACTGTTATCCATTGTGGTTCTGCCAACTCAGTATTTGAAATTTGAAGCAATGCTTCCTTATATTTAAGTAAGATTTACATACATACCACTCAATCCCTATGTATAAATGTGATATGAAACATTTGGGTTGTATAAATGTGAAAAGCAAAATTTAAGTGTTAGATATGGAAATACATAGGAATTGGGTGGTAAATACATAGGAATTGGGTGGTATGTATGGAAATGCCCCTTAAATTTCTTCTTTCAAAACCTGAAAGCAAACATTTGATTGTTTTTTTTTTTTTTTAATCTTTTTTGTAGGATGCCAATTACAGTTTATATTCATGATGATGAAGCTGGCGGTCTGATAGCCATTGCTGAGTACGGTCAAGAATATGGGAAGGAGGATCCAATTCGAGTTCTTTATCATGGCTTTGGCCATTATGAAGCACTACAAATTCCAGGGAGAAAGCCTACAAATTCAAGGCTTTAGTTTAGTTTAATTACTCTGAGGGGACACCGAACAGTTACTCTTCATGCTGCAAGTGATCAAATGCATCGACTGAACGGAATGCAAGCAATAAAATGAAGTATGATACGAGCTTCAAAGCTTAGAATATGTGATATTTTCCTGTAAAATGTTAATTTCATTTCTTGTTGGTACGGTTCTCTTTTTTATATAACACCTTACAAATGAAGATTAAATAATTCCATGAAATTTGTTATGCATATTTTCTATATTTTTAATAAAATTCTGGAGTCCTTTGGAAGTTTTGATTTTTTTTTTTTTTTTTTTTTTTTTGCTGTTATATTATTTGTCAATCCAAGTATGTTCTACACATGTACGTTTTAAGTTCACTTCTGTAGAAGATTATGATATTATTTTGGGAGGAGGACCATAGTTCTTCAATGGCAAACCATTTATTGTCAACAAATGGACTTCTTTGTTTCAACATGTTTGAGAAAATTTCTTAGAAATCTCTATATGAATTAAGCTCCCTAACTTGCCATTATGCCTCCGGTTTGAAAGTGAAATTTTTAAAATTGCTGGCAAAATTAGAATCTCATTAGCTGGACAATCTTTCTAGTAAGGGATTGAGATTAACAATTGTAAAAGTCAATATTTAGATCCATACTAAATCTACTTTATCATATTCTATAACAGTTTCAGTAAATTGCAAGGATGTTGCTCAACCAATTATCTATGAATGGAAACCAAATTCTTGTAAAACATGCAACACATTCGTTCATGACAAATCATCTTGCCCGGAAGCCCCCTCTTTCCTCCCTCCTCCTGTCTTCCCTCTTAATAGAGGCAAAGGTCATTCCAGAATGAATTCTAAAAATCACCCACCGGAAGATGAAGTTCTAATAGAATCTTACCTCTTCCTCTTAAGCCTACATCTAACTCCCTCCCTCCCCCTAATCTTCTCACACCACCCTAACCCCTGACCTCAATGTTCCTCCCCTCACCGACTCATAGCAAAAGATAATAACTCTCCTTCTTCTTTCCCACCTAGAGAGCCTCCCACTTTCCCTCAACCTGTGCTTATTCCTACCCGCGACTGTTATGTTCCTTTCTATGATATTGGATTCACTCATAGCAGGAGACTTATTAAAGACCACAAACTTGACTTGTTCTGCTTACTGGAAACAAAGCTCTCACCCACCTCCCTCTCTAACCTTTCTCTATGAGGCACCTCTCCATCTTCCTTGATGAGCATTATGTTCATAATTTCAATTCTTCTCAGAATGGGTGTATTTGGGTCAAATGGAACCCTACAACTATCAATTTTAATGCTTTGGACTATCAACAACGATACATTGATGGTTATATCTCTTTATCCTCTTCTATTAACTTTCTCATTACATTCATATATGCAAATAGAAAAGATCTTTAGCAAACCTTCTTTTCCTCGGCCACTTCTATTCTATGGCTTGGATTGAATTTGGGAATTTTAACTGCATTTTGAAAACCAAAGAAAAGGTGAGGCATTCCACCTATTCCCACTAAATTAGAATATTTGAAGAACTGCATATCTAAGGTAGGTCATATGAAACTTTCTAATCATGGCGTGGCTTTGTTGGTTCAATCGAAAAACTCATAACCCTATTTGATGTATCTTAGACAAGGCATTTAGGAATAATTGTTGGTTTTCATCTTTCCAATTATCTAGCTATAACATCACAGAGCTTTTCCTTTAGACCACTCACCCCTCAGTCTCTCTTTGGGAACTAACTTCATTTCCAATTGCATTTTTGAATACAAAAATTATTAGAGCCACATCCCAAATTACAAAAACATTGTGAAGGATGCATGGCTTAAACATGTGAAGGGTAGTCCTTTATTTGCTTTACATAACATATTGAAAATTGTTAAAAATGTTATAAGACAGTCCCACTAGAACTCCTTTAATTACATCTCTAAAATCACTGTTGATATTAAAAGTATCTATACAAAAAATCCATTCACATTTGGATTTGAACACTCCTGATAAATGCATCTTCTTTGACGCTCTCAATGCTAAAAAAATGTTTTATGAATTCCTCTCTTATGAGACAAAGTGGATCAAACAAAGAGTTAAGTCTGCTTGGCTATCCAAGGTTGAGGATGATAAAGTTTCTTTATCAAAAAAATCAAATACATGAGAACTAGGAATTTCGTTAAAGTGATTTACTTAAATGATATTTCTCTTAACTCCCAGTCGGAAATTATGGTTGAATCCATGAACTATTTCTCTACTCTTCTTAATCGTGATAATTCTACTTCTTAACACCCCTCCTCTCAACTCCCCACTAACAAAAACCGTTCTCCAGTTGATTATGTTTATGACAATAGATTTTTTTTTTACATCGACATTAAAAATACCTTTTTTTTGTATATATTCTAATACAATCCTATGCCCTGATAAATTTTCATCCATTTTTTTAAAATATTATTGCAACTTAATTGGAATTGGTTATATTGATGCTATCAGATTTTTTTCTTCTCCTCCTAATTTCCTAATAGGCGGACTGCTCCGACTCTGCTTCCTAAAAGTTCTCAAGCCAAGAAACTCAATGATGGTAGATCACTTTCTCACAACATTTTATATAAGGTTATCACAAAGCTTTTAGTTGATAGAATCAAGTCTCTTTTACCTAAAATTGTATGTCACATGTTGGCAACCTTTGTGTTTGACAGAGATATAGTTGACCCTCCCATCCATTTACAATGCTCCCTTAGACTGCATCAATTCCATCATCAGGAGAAAAATTGCTAAATATGGGCCCACTTGTGTTCTGATGGGAAAGTATACTATACTCATAAAGATGTTTATAACTACCTTTATAAGGATTCACCTTTAGAGCATTAGAGCGACCAACTTTGGTTCAACGGAAATTCTCTGAAATGTGTTGTTTTTACTTGGAAAATTCTTATAAAGGGCTTATCTACTATGGATAACTTAAATGCTAAACGCTTCAATCTGCTTAGTATTTATATTTTCTGTAAAAATTGCTCTGAAAAACATGCTCATCTTTTTTTTTTAGCGCCCTTTTATGTTTTATATTCTCAAAAATGAAAAACATATGGGTTCCTTCTTCCTTAATGACTAGAATCTACATCAATATTTTGTTCATGAAACTACGATTAAATGTAAAGTTACAAGACTTTTCTTTCTTCTTGTAATTTAAGTAATTGCTCATCATTAATGGTCGGAAAGAAATTCTAGAATTTTCAGAAATGAATCTACAAATGTTAATATTGTTCTCAATATATTAAATATGCTATCAAATTTAAAATCAAAAATTGGAAATGCAAATATGATATTCTCTATCAAATTACATCCGTGTACTATTTGTAATGTGAGTAGCTTTGGATTCTTACCACTTCAAAAGTTGATCCCTATGATGACTTCCCTTATAGTGCCCCTGATTTTCATTATGAGGATTCTATGATTAATTATATAGAGCTTAATTTCTCTGATGTTATTTCTAGATATATTTATGTTGAACCTTAAGGCATACTATGATTGCTATTATAAAGAGACAACATGCTACAACTTTGAATTAGATTTTTCTGTGCTTTGTGTGAATTTTTATCCAATTGTTTCCTATTAGTGTCGTAGAGATTTATGGCTGCAACGCTTTTAATCAATTTTGTGTTCCTTTATTGTAATGTTGTATTTATTTCATGGGGACTGCTTGGATGAATTGGAAGAATTTTTCTGTTCTTTATGTGAATTTTGTTGCTCCCACTTTAAAAGACCTCTCTGTTATCTCCGCTTTGATAAAATCTTCTCAAGGTTGTAATTTGGATGATTTCATATCATCCATGAATTGCTCCACTTCTTTTTCAGAAGGTTCAACTAATTGTTTTCAATATTTTTCAATCTACTTCATTCTCTGGGGTTTGGTAGGAACTGGAGAAACTATTCTCTTTACATTTTACTCTTTCATGAACTTTTCGTTAGTTTCTCCTCTATTGCCTTCCGTTGGCTCACATGGAGGGTTCTCAAAAGATTTTTTCTAAGAAGGGATTCAACGAGTCAATTATGTTGTACTGAATGAAATTCTTTACATTCCTAAAATATTTGATTTTTCATAGAACAATGATGGAAAATTATACCACCTACTGTGGGGCTCAATCGGCTTTCTTTATACGTCAATTTGCGTCTTGGATATCTTCTCTTCTTGAGCAGATACACCTTGTTCTTAAGGTTGTATGAATTGTCATGCTGAACATACATTTTGACTTTATGGTTAGCCAGGATGGAGCCCGTCCATAGATATTGTTACTTCAGTTTGAGCTCTCATATGCTCATGATAGATTTATTTTGCTTAGCTTTATCACCTTTTTTTTGGTAATCTGCTACAAAGTATCTCCAAGCTTTGGAAACTAAAATGTGTGGTCGATCTTATCTCACTAACATAAGTGTTTTTCTATTTAACTTTTCTTATGTTGAAGATCTTAGTATAACATTGGAATGAGGTCATTGGTTTCTTAATGGAAAGCCTTTTATTTTTAAAAAATGGACCCCTCTTATTCAGCCTGTCAAAGAAAATTTCAATGAAGTTTTAATCTGCATTAAACTAATAAATCTATCTTTTTTTCTTTTGGTTTGGAAAAGGGATCTCAAAGATTGTGAGCAAGATTTCTTTTCCACTTGCTATAGACATGCTCGCTGCTAAGGGAACTAGACTAACCTTTGCTAGAGTTAGTGTCAAGATTCATTCTAAGTTAGTCCTACCATCTCTATTAATGGTAAAGACATTGTTTAACCTATCTTATATGAATGGAAACCGAACCCATTCCAAACCTGCAACACATTTGCACATGACTAGGCTTCCTGTCCTATATCCGTCAATTTCCACCTCACCCCATTCTCCCCCTAAATAGTGGCAAAAGTCACTCCAGGAGGATTTCAGCAGCTCTAAACTCCAAAAGTCTGACCTCTATTTGACATAATACATCCACCATCAATCCCTTCCTTCCTCCCCCACCAAATCCTCCCATCCCACTTTCTCTTACTCCCACTGATCCCATAACAAATATTGACCACAGTAACTCCCCTTCTTCCTCTTCCACTCAAAAATAGCTTATTCCCTCCAACAAAGTTTTTTCAAATCCTACTTTGGACATACCCAACTCACCAGTTAGAAATACTTCTTCATCCCAGGATATCATCGTTCCCCTTCCACCCAACTGTATCCCAACTATCACCCTTTAAGTTTATCACATTCTAACTCA